AAAATAAAAGAAAGAAATCTAAAGATTGGACTACTGAGATGATCTTAACATGGGACATTATGAGTCACCTTCTGTGATACTGTATCTCTTTATGATACTATTTATCTGTCTGTTGCTGTTAAATGCCATCAAGTAGGTTCTGACTAAGAGCAACCCGCATAAGGTTTCCGAGGAGCAGCTGGTAGACTTGAACCGTTAAACTTGAGGTTCAAACCGACACTGTAGTCTAGTGCTTACCTCACGCCAGGACTTGTTACTGTTAGGTACTGTCACGTTAATTTTCAACTCACAGCAGCCCAATCCAACAAAGGAGAACTTTCTAGGTTGTAATCTTGACTGTAGCACTTGGTCAGGTCTTTCTTCTGAGATGCTCCTAGACTAGGATGAATTTGAACCACCAACCTTTAGGTTAGCGGTGGTTGGTGTTGGTAAATGCCGTTGAGTCAGTTCCAACTCATCATGACCCGATAAAGGTTTTGCGAGGAGCAGCTGATGGGTTTGAACTGCTGACCTGCGATTGTCAGCCGACTGCTTATCCTACAGCACCACACCAGAAACCCTATAGGTTAGTAGTCCAACACAAACCATTTGAGGCACCCGGGGGAACGTTTTAAACTTGGCTGATAAAGCCAAAATTGCCCTCAAAAAACCCGCTATATATTTTATATTCAGGACCCAACAGGAACTTCTCCTCACACATCAATTGTTTAGAAATGGAGATTTCCATCTCTTTAAGAGAGGTGTTGGGAGTCCTGGTATGGCACTATGGGATAGGACCCGGAATGCTATACACAAGGTCAGTGGTTCAAACCCACCAGCCATTCCTCAGAAACCCTACACAGGGTCGCTATGAGTTGGAACTGGCTTGATGGCACTCAACAAGAGATACGTTGAGATATTTTTTATATGTATACCGGCCATGTGTGGGTTTTGTTTTTTCTTTTTGTCTTTGAATTTCTTGTCATATATTTTGGCACCTCTTTCTCAAGTAAGCTGTTCATTTATTCTTAGGAAATCCTGCAAATTAAAGCATTTAGTCCTCTACTAATCACAAGGTCATTAGTTCAAACCTAGCCACACCTGGGAAATCCTCTACAGGATCCCTATGAGTCAGAAATGACTCAATGACTCTTGATGACAACAACAAAAACATGTATCATACAAAAGAGCTCTGGTGGCAGGCACAGTGGCTAAGCACTCAAACCCATCAGTAACTGTATATTAGAAAGATGTGGCTGTCTGTTTCCAAAAAATTACAGACTTTAACCCTATGGTGTACTTCTACTAGGTCCTACAGGGTCGAGAAGAAAGGGAATTCGTTGTGATGGCAATGGGTTTGGTTTAGGTTTTGTTACTGTTTTAAATTTATCAACTGGTTTTGGCTTTGTTTTGTTTTGTTTTCCTCCACTTATGCTTATGGCGTTCTTCCCAAACAAGAGTTTGTGGGATCTTCGCTTTTTGGCAGTCAGATTTACCAACATTTTTTGCCTAGAGAGGCATTCCCCAATTTAAGACAATAAACATATTCATTGTATGGACTTCTTTAGACCAAAATTTCAGGAAAACAAAAAACAATGGTCAAAAAAAACCCACAAAAAAATAATGGTCAATCCAAGGGTCTTCTGAAAGGAAGAAGAGCCAAAAGTATTTTAAAATCTGCTTCATACAATGTGTGACCTCAGCTTCCATTTCCACAGATGCTAATACCATGGTAGATAGAGAAGACACTCAGTCTTACAATCTGAAACTTCCCCAACCCTCAACTACTCTGAGGCTCAGGCATGTTTGCAGACATTCCCCTGGTATGTTCTTGGCTATATTCTCAAAATGTTTATGAGATGGAAAACGATTTAACATGTGAATGATTCATGTGTGTAGTAAAGAATTAAGCTTTGTTCTAAAACAGGTTCATCCTTTTCCCTGAACTTGTGGAAAGTAATCCATGTCATCTTTGTTTGGCTGTCCATACCCAGGATTCCTAGGGTGGGGACTGGCTGTGCCTTAAAGATCAACCATGTGACTTAGAATGGGGATGTTGGGACTTTCAGTCCTGCTTCCAAGCAACCTAAAGGCTGAGATCAACCAATCAATCATTTGTGCATTATGGTGTTCTAAAGAAAAACTTCAGAGTCTGGGTGTGAAACTGTAGGATAAGTACTACGCTGATTGCTGCAAGATTGACTGTTCAAACCCACCAACTGCTCCACAGAAACCCTACATGGGGTCACAATGAGATGGATCTGACTTAACCACATTTAACACAAAACGAAACAATGAAAACTTGGAACAGCAAAACTGAGGTGAGCGTCCCTTACAAGTAATATTGGGTGTGTGCATTGTCACATCAAAACTAGTAGAGTAGTGTGTACTGATGCTACAGCAGGAGAACAACAGAAATTTCCCAGTGGACACCCGCCCCCCACCCCCATCCCATGCACGGCTCTATGCATCTTTTCCTTTGGATGATATTAGTCTGCATCGTTGAGCTGAAATAAATCATAATGGTTGGGTATAACAGCTTTCAGTGAGTTATGTGTGTCTTTCTAGTAAATTATCAAACTTACGGGTGGTTTTAGGACTGATATGAAACTATTAATCACAAGGTCAGCAATTCAAATCCATCAACATCTCCTTGGAAATAGGGTCACTATGAGTTGGAACTAAGTGTACAACATTTGACAACAAAATACTTACATCTAAGGAGCTCTGATGGTGTCATGGGTAAAGTATTGGGGTGCTAACCTCAAGGTTGGCAGTTCAAACCCACTAGCCACTCCATGGGAGAATATGTAAAGATTTAAAATCTAAGAAACACTAAAAGCAGTTCTATGTTATACAGGGTGTCGATGAGTCAGCATCAGTTGGATGAGAGCAGGTCTTTCCAAACTTAACATCGGGTGTCAGAAGCGAGGGCAATCTTGTGTAGCCTACACCCTCCAACAGAGCCATCTGACTCCCTCTAGAAGTCCTGGTGTAGCGCTGTGGACAAATGTGTCAGACTGTACAGTCATTTGAACTGCAAGGTCAGTAGTTCAAACTCACCAGCCGCTCATTGGAAACCCAATGAGTCTGGGAACCCAAGGCTCCCTATGACCCTTGTGTATTCTTTCTGCTCAGTAAGCAGATGAGTAGTTTTTACAGAATAAATACAAAACCCAACGGTCCCTATGAGGCTGAACTGACTCAGCAGCACTTGACAATAATAACAAGACCCTGTGGCTACAGTCAAACCACCTGTCACTCACTTAAAATGCAGATTCCTGGAACCCCTTTCCCAGTTGTCAGCATTTTTAAAGCACCACAACTGATTTAGGTTTGGGGACCAATGTTTTATAGAAAATGTCATGCAAACTACTGGCTTGTACTATTGTCTTTTACACTGGCTTCTACAAGTGATAGCTTCTTTCCACTAAGCCATGATGGGAATATGGGGGTGATTATCTGAAGAACAAACCCCATTGTCTCTGTTGTGGACTGACCCGCTACTATTCACTTTCAGGATGTTGAAGAGTTACATCCTGCCAAACACTTACGCATCTCTCAAGGAATGACTTCCATTGGGGAAACTTTGTTCTTGAACACAGGGTGATTAAACAAGAGAACTGACCCTTTCCTTGGCTTAGAGAAAGTCTAGTTAAAAAAAAGCTGAGTGTGTCTAATTCTAAGATGAAATTATAGTCAAGGTGTATTCTTTCTCCTCAGTGGGCAGATGAGTAGTTTTTACAGAATAAATACAAACTACAAGAACCCAATGAAATAATAGTCTGCAAAGATCATTCATAGTGTCTCTAACTTATGCTGATGACAATAAGAAGATCGATGTTAAGTCAGACAAAAACCTCTCAGCTCATAATATATTCACTGGAAAGTGAGTATAAATTATCATTCCCATTCAGTGGAAAAGGAAGCATCATGAAACCACCTACCCAACTCCAAAAATGCGTTCTATTGAGTTTCTTACTGTGTTTAGGTTCAATATGTTATTGGGTAAAAAGCTGAAGAGTTTTTAAGCCTCTCTAATGTAATTTGCAAGAAGAATTTGTGGTGGTTACAGTACCCACAGTTTAATTGTAGCCAGATGCTTTTGCCAATTTTTAATTTATTTTTAGTCTGCAACTTGGCTTCGGTGGAAAATGAAAGTGATGGCTAAACACAATTTTCATCACATACGCAGAGTGAAAATAGTAACACTTGGTGTATTTTATACAGACTATTTTATTTAGAAAAGCACTAAAATGAGCTAAAAAATAGTGTAGTTTAAATAGTTTAAATATGCTAATGTTAACACCCCAAGTATCTACAGGCCAGGTTAAAAAGACCGGAGACACATGACAAAAATCAGTTAACGGAGTCTAAATACACAATAGCATCTAGTTTAGCAGATTTTATTGGAGTATTTTATAGTGTTTTATCTAGAATTTACTGTCATATTTTTATGCATTGGCATAAAAACTGACCAAAGCTATAAAAAAGGCTTAAGATAACTCTCTCTCCTCTCTTTCCCGCTACCTTTCTCTCTCTCTCTCTCTCTCTCTCTCTCTCTCTCTCTCATGGACTCTGCTATATACACTCTCTGTCTCAAATTCTTTCTCTCTCTTTTGCCCACTCTATAAAGCAATGATAGGCTGTCTGGGTTTATCTGCTTTCTTTGTTATTTGAATTTGCTTGAGGAGATGTATGGGAAGATGGGCAAAATCAATCATTAAAGTGGAATCATGCCATCTAAAGTGTGAGAATCATTAAGGTGGCCACCGAACCCTACTCTTACAGGTTCCATAATCCACCAACCTTGTTTTATCACAGAATAAAGTCTTTTGAGACTGTAGCGAGAAAGGAAAAGAGAGACATCCATGCAAATCAGGAATCTGCATGGGAAGACAGTCCAGAAAGCTTTTAGATTGCATGAATGTCAATCTGAAAAATTAATATCTCATAATTAAATACAGAGGAACTGGAATGCAAAGAGTTGGGTAGAAATCTATGAACTAATGTCCACTTACTGGAGATGTGGTTAACCGAAGGATAGTGCCATTTTTTATCTCATTGCGATTCTGGAAAAGAAAAAAAAAAAAGAGAGTTTGTAAATTTTCAAGTAGATACTTGCTAAAGAACAAAGGCAAATATAACCTTGCAAAGACTCTATATAACGGACACTGTGATTTCATTTATTCTCACTTGAGTCATTTTCAATTGTTTCTATAAAGAATTTTATGCTGGGTCCCAAATGTATTGATTGTATATCAAGTCACAGATAAAATTCAGCACAGAGGAAGTAAGTTTAAACCCAAAGAATCGGATTCTGAGGCTGCTGTTGCTGTTAGGTCCCATCCCGTCAGTTCTGATTCATAGTGACCCTAAGTACAATAGAACAAAACACTGGTGGGCCCTGCGCAATCCTGACAATCACTGCTACATTTGAGACCATTGCTACAGCCACGGTTTGACTCCATCTCCTTGAGGGTCTTCCTCTTTTCTCTGACCCTCCATTTTACCAAGCATGATATCCTTCTCTAGGAACTGGTTCTTCCTAATAATGTGTCCAAAGTATGAGACATGAAGTCTCACTACTCTGGCTTCTAAGGAGTATTCTGGATAAACTTCTTCCAACACAGATTTGTTTGTTCTTCTGGGAGTCCATGGTACTTTTGATATTTTTCTCCAACACCATAATTCAAATGCATCGATTCTTCTGCCATTGTCCAACTTTTATATGCATATGAAGGGACTGAAAATACCATGGCTTGGGTCAGGGGCACCTTAGGCCTCATACTGATATCTTTGCTCTTGAATCCTTCAAAGAGATCTTTTGCAACAGATTGACCAAATGTAATATGTTGTTTAGATTTTTTGATTGCTGCTTCCATGAGTTGATTGTGGACCCAAGAAAAATAGTGTTTGACAACCTCAACCTTTTCTCTATTTACCCTGATGTTATTTATTGGTCCAGTTGTGAGGATTTCTGTTTCCTTTACATTGAGATGCAATCCATACTGAAAGCTGTGGTCTGTCTGATCTTCACAGTAAGTATTATAAGCCCAAGTTCTCTTCTTTTTCAGCAAACAAGGTTGTGTCATCTGCATATCTCAAGTTATTAATGAGTCTTCCTCCAATCCTGATACCACTTTCTTCTTCATATAAGTTACTTATAAGGGAGAACTAATAAAACTAAGCTCTGATTTCTCAGAAGAAACCTTGCAAGCAAGAAAACAATGGAATGACATATATAAATCTCTGAAAGAAAGAGGAAAAAAGCTACCAATCAAGAATCATAGACTTAGGAAAACTGTCAATCAAGTATGAAGGAGAAAGTAAGTCATTTTCAGACAAACAGAAATTGAAGAATTTGTAAAAACTAGACCAATCTTACAAAAAATACTAAAGGGAGTTTTTTTGAGAAAGATAAACAACAACAGCAGACAACGACCTAAGACTAACAAAATTCACAATGTCACCTAGATTCAGCCCAGAAACAGAAATATGCAAAGTAAAACATATCTGCAGGACTGAAAATAAAGAACCAGGGATACAACAATAATAAAAAATAAAAACCCTATATGGTAAAAGAAGGAATAACATGGGTATAGCACTTCTAAATGAAGAGGAAATCAAACACATTTCAAGGGAAAATAGTAAATAAATGAATATAAATAAACCTAAGTGCAACCCTAAAAACTACACTGTGCCTTACTTCTAGCCCTAGTCCAACCCTTACTCCTAACACAAACAATAAATGAATTCCTAGGCCTAGCTAGGAGTCCTGGTATGGTGCTGCAAGATAAGCACTGGACTGCTAACCTTAAAATTAGGAAAAGGTTTCACCATACTTATTCAATCCATATGCTAAGCAAATAATCTGAGAAACTGGGTTATATGAAGAAAAACATGGCACCAGGATTGGAGGAAGACTCAGTGACAATCTTGCTTGCTGAAAGTAAAGAGGACTTAAAATACTTACCGATGAAGATGACAGATCACAGCCTTCAATATAGGTCGTATCTCAATGTAAAGAAAACAAAAATCCTCACCACGGAACCAATAAATAACATCAAGATAAATGGAGAAAAGATTGAAGTTGTCAAAGACTTCATTTTGCTAGAATCAACCATTAACACTCATGAAAGCAGCTGTCAAGAAATCAAACGACGTATTGCATTAGGCACAAGACTGCACAAGACTTCTTTAGTACTGAAGGGCACAGATGTCAGTTTGAGGACTCTGGTACACCTGACCCAAGCCATGATATTCTCAATAACCTCATATGCATGTGAAAGTTGGACAGTGAATAAGGAAGATCGTAGAAGAACTGATGCATTTGACTTATGATATTGAAGGAGAATACTAAAAGTACCATGGGCTGCCAAAAGAACAAATAGATCTGTGTTGTGAAGAAGTGCAGCCAGAGTGCTCCTTGGAGGACAGGATGGCCAGACTTCATCTCTCATACTTCAGACATATTATCCAGAGGGACCAGTCACTGGAGAAAGATATCATGATTGGTAGGGTAGAGGGTCGGAGAAAGAGAAAGACCTCGAATGAGATGGATTGGCACAGTGGCGGAAGCAATGGGCTCGCTCAGGCGTAGCAACAACTGTGAGGATGACCCCAGAGCAGGCAGTGTTTTGTTGCGCACCAGGTTGCTATGAGTCAGTACCGACTCAATGGCACCACGACAACATCAACAAGCTCACCTCAAGGTTGGTGGTTCAAACCAACCAGTTCCTCCTCAGAAACCCTATAAATGTTTGCTATGAGTCAGAAATGACTTGACAGCAATTAACAACAAGGCCCACCCCTAACCTTAACTCCTTACTCCTATCTTACCCACCCATGCCTCCCCCCCAAAAAATACCAACATATTCCAACTATCTTTCATCATCAGAGTAAATTTTTATGATTTGTGTATTTTTATGTACAGATGCATGTGTGTATTGAACTACATAAATGACTCACATGTAATGGTCCCAACCACCAAATACAAATAAACATTTGATTTACAAAGATAAGAAACAGAAACCAAACTCCTAGCCGTCAAAATAATTCTGACTCATCGTATCCCCATAAGACATGGTAGACTCATGCCATGGGTTTTCTAAGACTGATCTTTATAGACACACACTGACACATCTTACTCTGATGGTGTGGGAGGCGGGTTCGAAATACCAATCTTTCAGTTAACAGCCAAGTACTTAATCACTTTGTCACCAAACTTACTGATAATAAAAGGTAGTAATAATTAACACACACCACCTCTCTCCCCCCTCCCCCCCACAAAAACAAACAGGGAGTTATTTCACTTGCATCCGAACCAACTTAGCACAGTCAATGGACTGGAACCCTATCGTAAATTGGGAACAATTTGTGTATATCTCCTACTAGTTTTGACAAGATTGCTAGAAAAGAACATTTTGATTGGTAAAGTAGCAGGTCAACAAAAACAAAGGAAGCTCAATGAGCTGACCAATGATCGTGACGGTGGTACAGGACCAGGAATGATTCAGTGCTGCAAGGTGGAACCTACTCTACAGAAAGCAGCAACTCGATTTGCTTCTCTGAATGAACTGTGATCTTGCTGCAGTGAGCTGTAAACAATTCAACTTTGTCTGTGAGGAGGTTGTGCTGAGACTTAGAAAGCCGCATTCACCTGAGGCAGCACTCCCTTTCTCAGTGTGGATAAAGAACATCACTGGATATAGATAAACATTTGTAGGGAAGGAAAACAAAATGGTCAAAAGCCCCAATCCCTCTATATAGGTTAAGTGCTGTGGAATCAGTTCTGACTCATAGCAACCCTGTGTAGGTTGTCCAAGGAGCAGATGGAGGGTTTGAACTGACGACCTTGTGGCTAACAGTCCTGTGCGGATCTTACACCGCCACATAATGGAGTCTGCAGAAATGGAGAGTATCCATGAACTCATTGAACCAAGAAACTGCAACATGCTTCTCTCTGGAGTTCAGTTTTTAATTCTCCATTTCTTCCACGATCTTCAGATAACCTGCTTCTGGGTCAGTCAGCATGAGTGTATATTACACTGTAGCTTCCTCCCCCCCATCACTGAATCAGAGATGTGCGATGTTCCACTTTCACTATGACGCCAAGCAATTCTAATACACAAATTTGACCATTGCTACAGTCTAATTCGACAGACTACCCAATACATTTGGAGCAAGTATACCAAATGCAAGGTAATAAAACTAATATATTTGAGTCAGGGCAAATAAGACTTATGGCAGCTCCTCGAAAATGAAGAGAAAAGAAGCAGAGAGAACATTTATTTCTGCAGGGAAATGCCCTGATTGCACACAATGTACAAGAAGAATGACAAATGGCCCAATGAAAGCCCTACTGTCATAGTCACTCATACCCAATAGTACTAGCCCCTAACATTCACAGCCGTCTCAATGGGATGTCTTTGTGTTCCTTTACAAAACTGGAGCATCGAAGTAGCCTCTATGTGAACTGAACAATAAGATCCTGCAGAAAAATGTCACTGTTATCATAGTTTTCCCCCTTAAATTTGTTTTTCTCAGCATGGCAACTTTCAAGCTACACAAAGTAAGTATTATTATTTGGCAAAATTCCCAATTCCATTTACCCACTTCTATTAGCAAGAAGAAAAGAAGAGTCAAGGGGAGGAGACACTAACAGCCCCTAGCTTCCAGGCCCTAGAGGGCAGGCGGCTCCAGAGTCTGTCTCCTTGACTGAGTCTCTCTTCCTGTCTTCTTTGTCCATCTCTTTGTCTCTTCAGATGGGAGAAAGTCTCTTTCTGGATGTATTCCTACAAAATGATGCTGTTATTCATATCCATTAAGGAGCTCTGGTAGCGTAGTAGTTACGAATCGGGCTGCGAACCTAAAGGTCAGCGGTTCGAAACTACCAGCTGCTCCGCGGGAGAAAGATGAGGCTTTCTACTCCTGTAAGGATTTACACCCTCGGAAACCCTGTACAGGGTCGCTATGGGTCGGAACCGACTCGACGGCACGTAACAACAACAACAACATTCATATCCATTATTTCCTCACTGCAAAGACTGATTTTTGCTTGCAGACCTGA